TATATTAAATAATATTTTAAAAAGTAAATAATTAAATTTAAATATTTTAAGTAAAAATCTAAATCTATTAAAATTAATGAGTTAGTTCTTTTTTGTTTTACCTTCAAAAAAATTAAGAAAAAAAAGATAAAAAAACATCTTAATTTATGTTTTAAAATAAAATATTTTAATTTTTTTAATAATTATTTATTAAAATGACGTAATTTTGAAATAATATTTCTTATAATTTTTAATAAGTAAAATAGATAAATACTATTCCCTAAAATTAAATCTTGTAAATTTTATCTAAGTAAAAAAAAACTTAGTTATTAAATAATACTTATATAGTAAGGTTATAAAATAAAAAAAATTATATAAAAACTTATTCTTCAATTAATTTTTAAAAGGAAAATCAAAAGGCACTTAAAGGGTCAATGGTTTCAGACCACCTGTTAAGTGCATTTCTAGCAATTGTTCAAATCCAACATTTTACAAATCTGTTCACAAAAAAAGAAAAAGAAAAATCAAAAGTTTTTTTTTTTTTTTTTTATTGATCATACAACGGTAAGCAAATCTCTTTTATTATTTTATTTCACTACACTTACATATCATATAATTCAAATTTAAAATTATTTACTTAAAAAAAATTATCATTAAATTATTTAAATTATTTTTTTTTATTTTTTAAATTATTTAAATTATTAACAAAACAAAAATCAAAATTTGATTACTATTGTAGGAGTGGTATTTGACATTACTAAAAAATAGTATTTAAAATTAGGATTTATAATTTTCCCTATATCTTTGCTTTCGGTTACAGTGTCCTAAACTGCTAAAAAGACAAAATTTACTCGCACCTCGTCTCCCCACTTTATTTATTAAAAAAAAAAACTTTTTTTTCCCTTCTCGATTTGGTGAAATCGAAAATAAACAAAAAGAAAATACGAAGAAGAGACGAAAGCTGAAAATTGGAAAAATACTCAAAATTCAGAAAAAGGAAGCGTCGTCAAGATCGGGTCGAATACCGCCTCTCTCTCTCTCTCTCTCCAATAAAAACCCTAAGAAACGCTCCCGATTCCTTCATCTTCTTCATCCCAGGTATTTTCACTGTTTTTCTCTTTTTCTGAATTATCTGTTTTCGCTTCTTCTTTTTGTTTGAAAATTTTCAGAATTCAGTAACTGAGAGCCTGAGGCATGACTAGAATTCGGGGTTTTACTTTCTAGGCAACCAAACAGGGGTTTTATTTGTTTTTGATTGTTGGTGCAGTGAGGTAGAGATTTTTGGTGTTGAATTGAAATGCCGGAGGAGGAGGAGGAGGAGCAGCTGGTAGAACTCAAGTTCCGGTTGTATGATGGATCAGATATTGGTCCATTTCGGTATTCACCAGCCTCAACTGTGGCTATGCTTAAGGAGAGAATAGTTTCCGAATGGCCAAAAGGTCAGCAGTTTTCCTTTTAGAAATTATTTACATGGAGATGGAGGCAATTTCCTTTTAGAAAAATTTTCTTGCAATTTCAGTTCTCTTTTTGGTTTGTTTTCGTAACTTGTCTTGCTAAATTTTATGTATTAAGCAACCAAAACAGGGGTTTTATTTGCTTTACATAGATTGAGGTTTGCTTGGTTGAATAATAATTTGAATTTAAGGCCTGTATCTTTGATTAGCAGCAATTACTGTTTGACTGATTCTTGGACAGTTCCAACCCAAAATACAATTTTAGCTTAAGAACAATTTAAGTAGCAATTTATTAATACTAGTCAACCTAGTTGGTTCTCTTCTTGTGTTCAATTTTCAACTCAGTCAGGTAGTGTTTTGAGTCTCATCATGGGAATTTCTTGGTTGGGTTTCAACTATAAACTTTCATGTGGTTCAATCCTTGGGCAGGAACCCTCCATTCTACCTGAAACTTGTCTAACCTTTTTCTTTGTCTGGCTCTTTCAGCAGAGCCTATGAACTTGATGGGGGGACATCTATTGCTTAAAGAAGTTTGGAAAGTTTCAGGCTTTTGTTTTGGTTGAGGTTTTAGGTAGTTTTATAAACCTTTTTATTACAAGCTAGAGCTGTCCTTGTATTGTTGTGGGAAGTATATTGTTGTTCATGTGATTTGCCTATACTGATTTTCATTTTGTCACTATCTATATAACGTTCACAATCTATTACCAAAGGAGTAGACAAGCATCAACCAGTATCTGATCAAGCTTAAGAAAAAAAAAAACCACTCACTCTGTACTTTTGGCCAATAAACTATGATGCTTACTGTTATTTCTTTATATTAGCTGTTCAATTCCTTTTTCCTTTTGCAAGAGTTGAAATGACTATTCAAAAAATGTGAACTACAGAGTATCAGGATGCTCTATTTATCATTGTGATAGGGCTTCTTTTGACTGAACATTATAGTATTATTGTGCTGAGCAAACAAAAAGAATGACTACGGTGTCAAGTGGCAACAATTTGGGCTAGCCAAGTGCTTTTGGATTGAGATGATTGCATTCTAAGTTTTTTCCTTCCCTTTGGACTAGAAAGTAGATGTATGCTAGAGCACATAAGACCACAGTCAGGTTATAACTTTGATAACCTTAAAATATCTTTCGTACTTTGTTTTCCCCTTTCTTGAAATCCGTTACTCTTCAGTTCTTGCTTCACATTTTTTTCTTTTTCTCTGCTGATTGCTGCATTCAGCTACATGGGTTTCAACTGTCACACTCTACCAAGATACAGAGCATGTGTGGCTTATGTGGCAATTTCTATATTTGTTCTCTTTTTGATACCCCTGATTTCATTTCATTAATTGCTGCATGTAGCTAACATTGGATCTAAATGTTCTGATTTATCTTAGACAAGAAAATTTCACCCAAGTCAGCCAATGATGTCAAACTCATAAGTGCTGGGAAAATTTTGGATAACAACAAGACAGTTGGCCAGTGCAGTGTACCATTTGGCGATCTACCAAAGGGGGTTATCACCATGCATGTAGTGGTGCAGCCAACTTTAGTAAAAGCAAAAACAGGTAATCTTATACTAATTGCTCTAGAATGCTTACTTTGATTTTGGTGATTGACTAATATTCTAGAGCTCTGCCGTGCTAAATCTTAAGCTGGGTTATTCTGTTATCTTAGCAGAAAAGAAAGTGGATGAACCCCCCAGGAAAACCTTGTGTTCGTGTTCCATATTGTAGGTGTATTCAATCTTTGATTCAGAGTCAAACCGGTGCAGTTGCCGGCCTTCAAGTTGGTCAGGCTTCCTGGGGCAGCTGGAAGGACAGAATAATTCATAGAACAGTGCCAGGCTTCATTTCTTGTGCAACAGAGCATGCTGGTGATGATCCTGATGTATTTTCGTTTATCAAATGCTTGTTTTTTATTTGATAGCTGCTG